CAGCCCTTGATCCATACGTATGTGAGAGAGTAGATTTACTCATCATGACGTCCCCTGCGCCTCGCATGACTTGTCATGGATGCCGTTTTGGCCGAAATAGACGTCCTGCTGCCGCTTATCGAGAAGTACGAGACAACGGTGTGTTCGTCATCACTAGCAATAGACCGTTGTTACGGCGGCAATAGTGTGCGGCGTACTCAACGTCTGCAAATGCTGCTGCTGAGCATCGGCCTGTGTTGACCCGTAGGCCTCAAAACCTGCTAAGTGTTCGTGTTGAACGCCACTGTGTACAGCCGTGTCGCCGGTTATCGTTCGGCTGCCTCACTGTTCGCTGAATAATAAGGTTGATGAGTTTCTTCACATTTGTCGCTCGCACTCACTAGATGTCATCTTCCTGACCGAGAACTGGCACGACGCTGGCACGTTTTGCATCACGCGCCTTTGCACTGAAGGACTTCCAAGTAGTCGAGCGCGCGCGGCCCCGCATACAACCCGACACCCTGTAGGCGCATTACGGTGGAGTTGCCACCATCGCCAGCTGAGGCGTGCACCTTACCATTTACGACATCGGCGCCCGACCCACCGTGTTTGAGCAGGTTACAGGCGTTGCAGTCACCATGTATCGTCCTCGATCGGTTGCTGTGGCGCGCGATTTTTTCGTCAAATTGAGCGATATCTTCCCCAGACTTGCGGCTTTCCCTGATCGTGTCCTTATCATCGGTGATTTGAACATTCGACCAGATCACGTCGACGACCTGTCGGCTCGTCAGCTGAACGACCTTCTGCCCACCTTCGGCGTGATTTGTCACGTGACCTTGCCGACGCCCAACATGGGCGGACTGCTGGACGTCGTCATCACGCGTGCTGACCTTCAAAGTCTGCCAGTCGACATCATAGAGATCGCAATATCCGACTATCGACTACTTCAGTGGACAGTGCCGTGTGTGCGCCCGGTGCCAGTGTACAAAACCTTTACCTGTCGTCCGTATCGCGGTCTCGACGGCGATGTCTTATGCGAAAAACTGCAGTTGTCCCGTATTTTTCAGCCTGACTCATGGTTGGCACTATCAGTCAACGACCTTGTGCAACTATACAATACCGAGCTGACTTGTGCACTCATGACCTCATTCCTGTAAACACGGTTCGGGTACCCCAACGAGTCTCCGACCCATGATTCGACGATGAATGTCGGGTCTCGGAGCGGGTGGTTTGACTGCTGCAGCGGGCTGTCTACCGGTCGAACAGATTGGGCAATCCTGCTGCTGCAGCTGCTGTGGGCTCCACCTGGCGAGATGTGCGACGCAATTAAGTCGACCTTCTTCGATCGATAAGAGAGCCATTTTGGCGCCAGAGTGTCGACCCACAACGCAGCGACCTTCGAACGCTGTGGCGTTCGCTGAATAAACTCGTGGAAAGAGGTCAAACAGATGCTTAATTCGGGTGTCGTAAACGTTGAGGAGTCCCATGCCGTTTTTGAAAGAAAAATTTCTGCTGTGCGAGCGTCATCAGCCGATGCTCCGCCGGCAACATTTGCTCCGTACCCGTTCAATTACGTGCTTTTAGAATTCACTCGCGCCACAGCTGACAATGTCATCGATGCAGTGCGCGCGATGCCTAACAGTGTGCAAGCAGTGTGCCAGCTATCCGCTGCCGACGTCATTACTTAAGGGGAATATTGTAACCCTAGCATCTTTTCTGGTCGAACTTTTCAACCGCTGCCTAACTAACGGTGTTGTCCCGATGAACTTCAAATCAGCTTACATTACGCCTCTATTGACAAAACCTGATTTTGAAACTTTTATTCCCAAATTATATCGACTCATCTCCAACCTGTCGATACTCCTGGAAAGCGATGTGGTCCGATAGCTGAACAACCATCTTCAGCAGTCCGGTCCCATGCCTGCCCTCCAGTGTGCATACCGTCAGCTTCACGCGACGGAAACCGCTGTGCTGAAGGTGCTCTCAGACCGCGGCGAAATTGCGGCATGGCTTTAACCGACCATGGCCGGTTTGACACGGTCGACCACGCCACTTTGCTGCGTATCCTTGACATATGACGTATCCTCTAATTCAATCAATTCAAAAATACCTGTAGGTCTAAATATTTTTACCATTCCGTCCATAATTATAACGTTCATGTAGAAACTGTCTACCTTCTCGCCTAGCATTTTCACGTTTGTTGCGTAAGTGTAATGGTGAGATGGTAGACAGTTTCGCCTTGAACGTGAGAATGCTGGGCGAGACGGTAAACAGTTTCAACATGAACATTATGATCATGTACGAAATGGCAGAAACATTTAGAACTATTTTTGAATTGATTGAATTAGAGGAAATCATGTCATATTGTCCAGCGTAGAGGGGAAGTTGCACCTCATTTACGCTGGAAGAAAACATTTTACCAGCCTGCAATGAAACATATTCGATTGAAAGATCACCTGAAGATAATAACAGCTTCGGTTGATCATCTCAAGTGCACAGTGACCCATGCAAGTGATACTTCTAGGATTCAGTACGCACAAATATCCTATCCATCTGCTCGATAGTAATTTTTCCACTAAAAGCAAAGCAGAAGTTTGCTCAAACTACTCAACAGTCACTACGGCCAGATTGTCTCGTCGTTGGTACCTCAAAATAAGCTTCAATTTTTAGCAGATAATTCCATAGCATTGCATTCTTCCTATAGTACTATAATACCTGATAGCCTCCTCATAGGCGTCGTGTATAGATCACCAAACAGTTCTTCTGATAACGATAAAATACTAAACAGTCTTTTACCGAGCATGACTTTCCGTAAGTCACACACGTTGATCGTTGGTGATTTTAATCATCCAGAGCTAGACTGGATAGATGGATCCTCTTCGGTTAAGCAAACAGAATTGTAGCAGTTGTGAGTTCAAGACCGCAACAAGCTGTGAATGTTCTGCTATGTTAAGAATCGGCGACAGGCCTACGGCTCACTAAACGCTTACACCGCTAAGATATGTTTCCCACTTCCAGAATGTGTGCGTACCTCGGCATGCTCTTACCCCAACTTATCCCCTTATTTTACCCAATTACCGATTTTACCTCACGTTATCCTGCCTTTCTATATATTCGCGGCCAATGAGGCTGGGTTCGGTTAGGTTAGGTTTGGATTGTAAATCGATGTATAAGTGAGCCCACTCCTGCATCGTGTCAGCCGTTACACGTCACCATTCCATCACGAAATATAAAATAAAAGACATATTTATTAGAGATTTATTTATAAAAAACTGTAAAACTTATTTGCAAAATGACTTCGCCGCGTAGGAAGACATTTTCACATCACTTAATCTAATCAAGTTTAACATGGCACTTCGGTGAAAATATTTTCAGTTTCCGTTTTTAAAATGCAAAAATGTACTTCCCCTAAAAAAAAGTTTAAAATTTACAAATATATAGGATTAAATTTACAGGTGGATTTCCGCGGAGACATTTATAAATTGAGTTAATACAAGAATTATTTGCATTAATACAAGAATTATTTATATTAATCCGATAATTGTTTGTACTAATACAAAAGTTATTTGTATTAATACAAGAATTATTTGTATGAATACAAGAATTATTTGTATGTATACAAGAATTATTTGTATTATTACAAGAATGTGCGAGGCTCCCAACACACGTATTATAAATGAATAAATTCCCGCTCATACATCAACATGAATGCCTCCGTGTTCTTAACGCTAGAAATGTAAGCTTTGATCAATACTAACATTAAATACACTTCATACAATGGGAAACATTTGTCTTTATAAAACGTTGTCCTAAAAACTGTGATAAATAACGTATAAATAACGTTCAGTAACGTATAAGTAACGTTATTTAATAGTGAATAATGTCAGCAGTGAAGTAAGGCACTGAGTGACGTCACGACGCCTAAAAGACGGAACCGAAAAGGCACGGCGAAAGCAAAGAATTTCCAGAATTTCTAGCATTCAATTATTATTTATTTAGACTTTTCATATAATAAGCTACGAGTTAAACCGAAATTAAAAATTAATGGATTCATAAGTAACGACTCTTTTTTTTTAGATTTCGTCGTTGCTTCATTTTGAAATTAAAAAAAAAATCATGTAATGGAAGACTTTTGTAGTATATTGAAGACGACATTGCAATAGACACGAACATAGAAACATTGCATGTTGTTGATATAATCGAAGTATCGGAAACAAAAAAATTAGAAGCATTTAATGAGATTTTCATATATAAAATACGAAGTGAACGAAATATTATGGCATGAGATTAATGCCCGAGATTTCATCTTTAATCATCACGTACGATGTGAACGAAACATTACGACATGATACATTCCATTCTCAGTTATCACGTACGAAGTGAACGAAACATTTTGGCATGATATTCAATTTCAATTATCATGTACAAAGAGAACGAAACATTATGACACAACGACCTGAACGAAACATAAAGGTACGAGATTACATTTCCAATCATAACGTACGAAGTGAACGAAACATTATGACATGATATTCCACTTTCAATCATCACGTACGACGTGAACGAAACATTATGACATGATATTCCACTGTCAATCATAACGTACGACGTGAACGAAACATTATGACACAACATTCTCACACATTACCCCATTAAAAGCATGTCTTTCACCACAGAATGAACATTTCATGAATACCTTCACACATATTGCTGAATTGAACACATTACCTCCAACTCACCACTAGATTACCCATCGCAACGATTACCCACAATACCTTCACTTGACGAACCATTGTAATTAATATTACCTTTACTTGCAGTCGATATTAGGATAAATTACACTTATTGCTTTGAGTGTACAGGCAACTATACGCNGCCTCAGGGCCAATACCAACGGATCAGAATGATCCGTTGGTATTGGCTGGCCCGTTCTTCTGCTCGAGCCAATATTGTATATTTCCTTCGTTGTAATTGCCTTGCCAATATTACACTACTATTGGCTATTTATTATTATGATTATAATGCATCAGGGACCCAGTGACCCGTTTGTATTGGCTGGCCCGTTCTTCTGCTCGAGCCAATATTGGCAGTAGAACCTAATTTCGTCGTACTTGCTTCTTATCGCCCTGATGTTCTGGCGCTCCTCCAGTTCATACTGACGCAGAATTGCCCGACATTCTGCCAGCGACAGGTGCACAAACTCTGCCATCTCCGGGGTAACGTCAGGGGTGTCGGCGACGTCGGAGATGACGAGACGTGCGACGTTCTCGTGGGGACCTAAGAGAACCCTCACCACCAACGGGGCCTCCGTCGGTAGGAGTTTACGTCTCTCACCGTTGTCCTTAGCGACGTATAAAGCAAAGGTGCTAGAACTCATCTCTATCTTGTACTTCTCCAGCAGCGTGGTGATGATGTGGGTCGTGGTGGTGGTGCTGGTGGCACGCACTACGGCTGGGGGAGTGTCTACAGAGGGACGGAAGCTCGAGGTCTCCCGAAGGTACATATGGCCGTTGATGGAACACCGACGTTTGACTTTACGTTTGTCCATCCGGCGACCAGGACGACGACGTAGCTGGCTGCGTCCTTTAGACCGCTTGTCCGCTGATGGACTGATGCCACCTGAACCTTCTCTGTCCATCACAGAAGCGGTGGTCTCTGCCTGTTGTGGCGGCGCTCCGTTACCGTCCTCCGCTTTGTCTGTTGTCTCTCTGTCCTCGCCGTCCATCATATGACCACCGCCCTCCTCTCTGTCCATCTTTACGTCCCTAAGTTTCTCGGTCCAGTCCACTTGGGAGAAAGAAACCCTTTTCTTGAGCGTCCCGTTACTCCTGACGGTACCGGGGCCGTTGCCGGTGCCGTTGCCAGGGCCGTTGCTGTGACCGTTGTTACTTGACGACGAACCATCGTTGCCGGTACCTGAGATACCGTCCTGTACAACAGACGTGGTACCGGTGGGTGTATCGTGGTGCATGGTACCATTGCTCTTAGTACCGTTCATGTGGATGTCGTTAGATGCACCATCATTACCACCTACATCACCACTCAATGTGATACCATCACCCCCTTCATCACCATCACCCCCAGGCACCACCAGCAGGGAGTCCCGCATGGACTGCGTTTGCGTAGGATCTCGCCTCCTGCGTACCGTGCGTATCTTCATGGTCGCGTAGCAGGAGTCCGGCCCTGCGTAACCGTGGGAGTTTTCGAGGTCTTCTTAATTCTAAACTGCGTTCCAGCTCCACTTGTAAATTCTGGCGAAACTTTTGTATGAATTTATATTTTCTATTCGAACGTCATTATTATTAAATATCAATTCTAATTAATATTAACATTAATTAATTAATATTTATTATAAATTCTAAACTACATTCCAGCTCCACTTGTTAACTCTTGCGAAACTTTTGAATTTAAATTTTAATGAATTTAAATTTTCTAACAAGAATCAGAAGTGTTCTCCTTAAGCAAAGATTTCATAGCGAGGCTCGCGAGCAAATATAGCATGAAACATACTAACTAATTACAGCCTCTCATCATGTAGGGACTGGCCCCTCATCATATTTTGCTCATGTTTGACTGAACATCATTTATGTAAAACATCATGTAGCACACAGCTTCTCTTCATGTATGACCAAACATCGTGTACGTATGTCCCAAGACCATTTAGGGAACGCCAAGGAGTTTAAGCAAAGAAAACGCCAAGCAAATTCACCATATCATATTGAATTGATATGGTGAATTCGATAATCAATAAATATCACCATATCGATATATTCTTTTCGTGACCCCTAAATAAGTTATTCCAATGGAGTCCTGTTTTTTTTATATAATGTAGGTCTTGTTTAGGTTTTATTATGAATTTTGACTTATAATATGAACAAGCAAATTCACCATATCGATATTGAAAACGTTTCAGAGTCCAGCTCCATCATCATTACGAAAAGCTAAAAATGAATAAAATCATATTATCATATCAAAATCCTAAGACATAATTATTTGTAGTTTAGTCGAACTGATGATGGAGCTGGACTCCGAAACGTTTTCAATATCGATATGGTGAATTTGCTTTGCATTTTCTTTGCTTTCAAATTCCTTGGCATACATGATGAGGTGCTAAATGGTCTTGGGACGTACATGATGTTTGGTCATACATGAAGAGAAGCTGTGCGCTACCTCATGTTTTACATAAATGATGTTTAGCTTTACTGAGCTCTAGCCGAGTGAAGGGCACATTTTATAGTTAATTTCCCCCTTTGCAATTACTGAAGGCCCCCCACCCTCGTCAAGAGTGTACCTCATCATCCTCTTCGTCAGTAGCAGGTCCGCTGTTGACGCTGCCTCTGCTGCAGCTCCTGACGACGCCCTCAGCACCAGCCCTGCCAGGGTCCTCCTGCTTCAGGTGGATCACGCCCTGCACCGCCCAGTGGATGCGCAGGATGCCTTCCAGCACAGCACGACCGTTCACCTGCAACATGCACGCAGGATTAGTATCCTAAATCCTAAGGAGTGGTGAGTAGGATAATCCTAAATGCAGATCCTAAATCCTAAGGATCCATACATAAGACTTATACGTCTATAATTATATATGAATAATAATGTCTATATTACATTATAGACATTATGTAAACATATATACATTACATCCTTGGGATACTAAGTACCTATCTCAAGGATGTAAACATTATCAGAACCTTCATTTTATCCTAGGTAACGTGGGGATGTACACTGTTAGAAAAATTACCGTTAACGGTATTACCGGCGTTTCAGTGGCCGGTCGGCACGTGAAAAGAAACACCGTGTCGCCGTTTTTATTGCTTCAGGTGGATCACGCCCTGCACCGCCCAGTGGATGCGCAGGATGCCTTCCAGCACAGCACGCCCGTTCACCTGCAACATGCACGCAGGATTACATACTGTAACATTTATACTGTAACATACATACTATAACATACATACTGTAAGATACATACTGTAACATACATACTGTAAGATACATACTGTAAGATACATACTGTAAGATACCTAAGGATGTAAACATTATCAGAACCTGCATTTTATCCTAGGTAACGTGGGGATGTACAATCAAAAGTTGCTTGAAAGTGTACATGTAGCGGCTCAAGTACACGGGGTTACCTTAGTACTTAGTGGCCTAAGTACACTAAGTGGTTCAAGACCTTGTAGCAGCCTTAGTGCATGTAGCACCCTAAGTACACATAGTGGTTAAAGTCCGTGTAGCGGCCTTAGTACACATATCGGCTTAATTAAGTAAACTTAGTGGCTCAAGTCCTTGAAGTGGCCTTGGTGCAAGTCGCTTAAGTACAGAAAATAAAAATAATTTCATAAAGTATGCTACGCAACAATACTAATGATATCGAAGTGATAAACACCTATCTCTATAAGAAATATAACTCAGTACTCACTGTAGTGAGTGACAGAGAGCGCATTTTCTCGTAGACAAAAACGTGAAGTCACGGACGGACGGACAGACAGACAGACGGACGGACATGGCGAGCACAATAATGCATTTTTTCATAAATGAGAAAATGTGCTAAAAATAGCAAGGCATCAACTGCAGCACGCACCTGGCCCCTCCCTCTGAAGGCATCAGCCGCAACACTCACCTGGCGGCAGGTGATCTCCCCAGGCTTGCCCTCGTGCGCGAGGTTGTACTCCCGCAGCTTCGCCTCCAGCAAGACTCTGCAGCAAAAGGGCATCAACTAACCACCGTCATCAAGTCTGTCAAGTTTGCACTCTTCAAAATAACCACCATCATCAAGTCTGTCAAGTTTGCACTCTTCAAACTAACCATCATCAAGTCTGTCAAGTTTGCACTCTTCAAACTAACCACCATCATCATGTCTGTCAAGTTTGCACTCTTCAAAATAACCACCATCATCATGTCTGTCAAGTTTGCACTCTTGGATATGAGTATGAAAAGATGGTCTGAACGGCATTCTAATGGCTGGCTGCTTAAATATGAATATAAAATAAATGGTTTACCATTTTTTAAATGTAATACGAATGTCTTCTGTCGAACTAAAAAAATGCTGGCATGGTGTTTTTTCACATGTCAGCCACTGAAATGCCATTAAGACTACTTAATGGAAATTTTTAGTACAGGATGTAGTCAGTCATATTTTGCCATAGAGTTGCGCACACATTAACAGCAAAATTAAAATATAAATGCAATGGAACAACATAATATAAATACACTAATGAACTGATGACAGTATGGGTTTTATTCTGCTCCAACAAATTGGCAGTGAATTTTTAAGGTGAACTCATAGCTTGTCACACCCTGTGCATTTCCCACTCAGGGATTAACCAGTAAAACTTCACATACTAAGCACACTAAGTACACTTCACATACTAAGACAATGATAATAAAGCCTGTACTAGCCTTTGTTGATCCCAGAAAATTCAAGTAAACCTCAAACACATCCTAGTACTGATGGTAGTCCAGCATATCATGGCAAGTCACCTGTCTGGACCAGCCTCATGGTTGCGTTTCCCAAAGTCCCCGTGACACTCAGTGCGGGTTCCATGGCCAAATACACGGGGACCAAAGAGTGCACCTGCAAGTTTCAGAAGCATTTAAATTCTAATGTTGTTGCGCCTTTAACAATACTTGTTGGCAACACAATGATCATAGTGGAAAGACATCCTAACACAAAGCATCTAGATTTATGGCCTCGTGCCACAGTGCCAGCTGCCAGTTAACCGTTTCAAGTTTGAAATTAATTATTACAGTGCAAACATACTCTTCCTGGAAATTTTAGAGCCAAAAAGCCCAACAAAGATACCCAGATTATGACTGTATGATTTTCTTTCAGTTTGGATTTAACTTCCTGATCACAGATCACCCTGATTTCTAAAATAAATTTATGAGTTGAAGAGTTCATCAAATAAAATCAATCATTCAAGTAAAAAATGTGTTCCTTCAGCCAAATTGCCATTCCATATTACAATATAAATTTCCACGTGAAGTTGCCATGATCCAAATTTATGAGCAACCACTCTGGTCTCAAAATTTTTTTTTATAAAATTAAAGTCTATTTTCATCATATTTCACAAATTCAATATGGTGATTTGACTAGACACAAATGTACCTCTTCAGCCTTCTACCAAATAAGTTGAATGCAATGTACCTATTTTAGATCTAAAAAAGATCTCCTGAAAATTGACAAAACAGCAACTTTAGGCAAGTATTATATTAGCCTTTCAAATTTCAAGCTGTGACTAGAGCATTCCTCATGATTCCTGCCATGTTAAAAACCAAGATACTCTCTTTAGATAAATTACCTCTTCATTTATTATTAATAAAAATGTACATTATCTAGTTGGGCTACAAAATCAAAATGTCAGATGTACAGTGTACGGTATTGAAAATTTTTCACTCTAAGGGTTACAGGGTACAAGATTTCTGTTTTAAATAATAGGCAAATTCCAATTCTGGCACTGATAATTATTGAAGGCTAAACAAAGACATTACACTCACCATAGCAAGGATGATGGCAGTATGGCTCAGCCGCATGCTCGGCATGCTGTCCTGGATGTAACTTTTTTCCACACTCGCAGCAGACGAGGCAGGACGGGTGCCAGTCAAATCCCAGAGACTGGATACGCTCCGCTGAAAACAAGCAAGATCTCTGAGCCAACCACACTTTTTACAATTGGGAAGTCAAACTTTTAATTTTTTGTCTCAACTTGCCTATTTGTTTCAATTTTAAATCTTGTTGCTCAAACCAAATTTAACCAAAGTAAAATGATTGATTTTATAAGCATTCAATTTAAACAAACAATATACGTTTATAAATACTACAAATAAAAAATTAAAATAACTACGTTTTGAAGCTAAAAAATAGAATCAACTCCTTACCGAAATAAACAGGTTTACTACATTTTTTGCAAGTCCACATATTTTCTTCTTCAGCCCGCCGGAGAGCAACTAACTAAAACATTCAGAATGATGTGTTAGCAGCTTCAATATTGGAAATTTAAGAATTGTTAGGATTATAAAAGGATATAAAATTGTGAGTATCATAAAACTTCTGCCACTCTTGAATAAACGGATTCAGCTTCGCGCAGAATTATGAACGTCGGACTTCTACTACCTACACGTAGCCTATGTTTACTACAGCGATACCTATTGAAAGAAATAGAGAAGTTATGAACACTGTCAACCTTTGCATGGATGCTAAAGAATGTGCAGCAGCGTCCTCTAGCTTGTTTTGATAAAAACATTTATTGAATATCAATAAATGAGATTTTTGGCCTAATTATATTTAATTGTGAATTTTTATGCTTTATATGCTTCTTAAACTGTTTTCTAATTCAATTATAAACATTTTTATCTATTACCATTGCGGTATGTTAATATATAGATTGGAAAATTTGAATTCAAAATAACATTCAAAACATAGAAAGTATTTTCGATTATATATGATTCGAAGAATGACGCAAAAATTTTGTGAATATTTTGTTCCTAATATATATGAATAATTTAACGAAATCAGCCATATTGGTTGAAGTGAGAAGTCTTCGCTAGAGACAAGCAGTGTTGTTATTGTGTCTCAGCTGTGCGGGTGGTGTTAGTCTACGAGGCACATAGAAGGTCTTAGGGTAGGTACCAAAAGTTGCAGCACTTGCATGTCCTTGTAGTGACACCGAGTGACGCGCGTTTTTGAACTCTTCTTGTAATTTCCAACCGTATTTCAGGTGAGTTATTAAATTCGTTTCAATGTGTTGTTTCTGAAAAATTCAATTTATGAACGCATTTTAATGTGTGACAGACTGACAGCTATTGCAAAGAGTTAAAGACGAATTCAAAGAAAATTCAAAATTGGAAAAATATTTTTGTTTACTGAAACTGAAATCAGCACTGGCAACTCTGGATCATGTCTAAGAGACATATTTTGTTTGAGTCTCAAGTCACTCTCAATCTTTTAGCTCATTTGTGTGGTATTTGTAACAATTAAGAATAAATTACATACTATTACTATATTTGACAATCTGAAATTTCTGGGCTTTAAAAACAACTTGTATTCCTAAAATCCCTATTAACAGATTTAAAAAAAAACATTTATTTATTTAAAGACAAGCAACTCCAGAAATTGGGATAGAAAAAAANCGATGAAACGTCACAAAATGTTGCCATATTTATTAAAAAGCCTTTAGAATGGAAACCTACCAAATCCCTATATTCCGTCACTTTGTGTGGCAACATCCGACACGTGGTGAGTCGTATTGCGTCAGCGCTTCAAATTTAACTGATCCGTATTGCCGCTGTCTCTTATACACATCTAGATGTGTATAAGAGACAGGCCCTAAAGGGAGATATTTCCACGCTTGAAGGGGTTTCAATGAATATTAATAAAAAAAATCATTTGCAATTGCAAATCTTGCTGGTTATAAGTTTTTGAGTAAGTAGAAATTTGGGTAAGTTTTTCAAAAATAAATGTAAAATTACTTGAATATGGTATATACATGAAATTTTAAAAATTGATAATTTAAATAATTTGTTAAAATTTGAAATAATGAAAATTTATCTAACAATTGCAAAATATATAAATCTCTCAATAAGTCTTATCAGTTGAGGAATTAACCATCATGGATTACACTTATTGTGACACACCTTTGACAGGTGAGGGATTAGTGTAATGGTAAAACTTTTTCGAAGTAAGTTTTAAATAAACAAATAATCAATAATAATATTTTCAGAGGCTGTCATCATGGAGAATGACTCTGGGGGGAGCAGTGATCCTGCAGCTGAATCTGCCATGATGGAAGACCGTCAAATGCAAGGTGTGTTGTACTGTTGTCATTTTAATTTCAATCATATGTAATCCTGTTATTCAATTAATCAAATAGTGATTTAAATCTGTTTTTAGCACATTTTCTCATTTATGGAGAAAAAGGCGCTATTGTGCTCTTCATGTCCATCTATCCATGACTTCATGTTTTTATGTATTAAAATCACTTGTTTGCTTAAACTGCAAGTTAACCAGGAATTTAAAAGCAAAAACAATACCACAAAAATTCACCATATCTTTATAAGAGAAAACGTTTCGGAGTCCACCTCCATTGTCAGTTCACAAAATTCAGTTCAGAAGTTTAGTCCTAGAAACAAATACAATCAATTAGTGGAGATGTTTTTGAGATTCATGTTTTTGAGATGCGACTTAGCATTAGTCAAGATTCTCATTTTCATTGTGACTAATTGCAATGAAAACTGATTTATGCACAAGAAGATGTGCTCTCTGTCACTCACTACAGTCAGTACTGATCTAAATTTTTTTACCTTTCTATGGAAACTAAGTATAAATGTAGTATGTGCGCAAAACAAGATAGGTTCACTGAAAAATCAAGCCAATAAATGCCATCACTTACATGGAGATAGAAAAGAATAAATTAGAATTCTTTCTTGAATTAACTCATGATGAATGTCATATGAATTTGTCTCCAAGAATCTTAGCTCAGATTCATATCCTGAAGTCTGGCCTGCATGGAACTGCTGGAGGTGTCATAACAAGTTATGCAAAACGTACACAAATGTCTGGATATATTTTTTTCTTTTGATTGTAAAGGAAGGCAACACTAAGCTTATTGTGGGTGAAATGGTACCTGAAAATCAAGCTAGGGCTTATCTAAGCTACATGCAGTTAACTAAGTGCAGAATTATTTGACAAAAACTTTGGTTATAACTAACATACTAATCATTGTGTTGTGATTTTTCAATTCAAAATAAGCAAAATTATCCCATGGAGGCGCAAAAAAGATGAGATTTTTCTGCACTTGCTGTCATTGTTTTCTAATTTTTCAATTCAAAATAAACAAAATTGTGCCATTAAAGGCATAAAAAAACTTGTTTTTAAAAGGCAATAAACATTGTGAAACATTTTAGTTGCATTTTTAATTTAATAACCAGTTCCTAAACTAAAATCCTGTATTTTTCAGATGAACCAATGGAGGCAGGGACCGGAGCAGCTGATTCCATGGAGGATACAGCAGCTGGTGCGGGGCAAGAAGTGCCGTCTGCTGCTGGTGTTGTATTTGAAGGCCTTACAAATGAGACAGCTGGAACATCTGGTGCAGCACAGATGGTTGCAGTTGATGTATTAGAGGCTGCAAATACAACAGCTGGAAGACAGGATTTGACAACTGATGCTGGTGGACATGGAGAAGAAGCTGGTGCAGTGTCATTGGCTGCTGGTGGAGCAGAAGTGGAAGACCCAATTGATGGAAGACAAGAGTTGGGAGCAGTTGCTCTGCAGGATGACATGCAAGCTGAATTTAATTTGAATCCTGATGATTTCCCAGCGCTAGAGAGACCTTCATCGCCTGTTGGCTCCGTGGACGACAGCGACAACGATGATGACAACATGGATGAACCAAACGACAGTGACCCTGAGGAAGCCATGGATGATGCACTTGAGAATTTTGACGATGATGATGAAGAAGATGATGACATGGATGATGCAATGCTGGATAACGGGGTACCCTTCATCCACGTCTTCAGCCCACGTCAACAGCTGGACAGTGATAACGATAACAACAACACGGATGATGAGGACTCGCAGCAACTCGAGCAATTTGATATCAGCCTGCCTGGGCAACACCTGGTCTGGAACTATGCTGAGTTTTGGTCTTATGTTGTCATTAAACATATCATGTTTGAATATAACATATTATTATGTTGTAACATAACACATTGTGTTTTCATGTTGTAACATTTTTAAAAGCATCTTAGCCTCAACAAAAACCTTCTCTTAACTGCCATTATAACTCAACTAAGCTTATTCATTTTGTAACAACACATTGGTATCATGTAGTAACATGACACATTGTTATCATTTGTGTAACATTGTTGAAAGTATCTGCCATTATAACTCGTATAAGCTTCTCTTATTTTTTATCATGTGTTAGCATTAAATTCTCATTAAAATTAAATTTCTCGTTAATGAGCAAACTTTTTTT